GACTACAATATCAAAAATTATGAAGGGGTAATGAAAACTGATGGGTAAAAGAAGGAGCACATTCTTCTAAAAAGAACTGTGAACTTGGATCAAAAGATGAGAAAATGTTTATTTTAGGCAGTGTATAGTCCACATGTGGATGTATTATTCGGAGATTATTTTAACTTGGATAGCACTTAACATTGTTTCAGAATGTAGGCTGAACACCTAAGGAAGTAAGAAAGGATGCCAAGCACTGCACAGGTAGGTGCATTTATGGGACCTCCCTCTTTCATTACGTGTCTGGTATTAGCCACTGCTGGAGTCAAGATACTGTACTAGACTGACTAATGTTCTACATGCTTGTTTTAGACTAACAAAATTTAGGCCATGAACCACCATGAAAGAGGGAATGTCTTCATGAGCTAGATTTTTATAACAGCCACATTATAATGATTTTTACACATAACAGTGTAGTTGGCAACTACGAAATAAAATTTACGATCACCTACACAAAATAACTTCAACAGTATTAAAAAGATTAATTTTGGGGGCAGGGAGAGAAGATTTTCAAAAGTACCTAGGGATTTGAACACAAATCTCACCCACCCTCAACGCCCAACAATCATTATCAGATGAGACAGTTCCACTCCGGAGAGAGAGGTGGTATTCTCACATGCCTGGTAGAAACCAGCATCACTGTGGTAATATGATCAATCTCAGTGAGACATTCTAAGGGTGTGTCTTACACCAGAGAACCATTGATAGCTGAACTGATGGGGATTGCACCAAAGTACGGACCAATGGTGCAGTATATCCACATCAGCCATGCTGTTTTGGCACAGTTTAGCCTGGTGCTTTTCTACACTATTGCTGTAATATTGTACTTTGTGTAGCTACCCAATACTTCTTGATACAGCAGCTTCTGGGAGAAATGGGGAAATCAAACTCCCACCATCCTATTATTCAGGCTATTTAATCAGAAGCAGTAACCTGGTTCAGTGAATGAAGACTAGATATACCACACTTATTACTACGTAAATGCCTTAATTGAACTGATAACTGGAAACACTTGCATTCCAATCTCAGCACTCCCATCAATCCACTTAGGCAAGTCAAGTCACTTCACTTCTCTGCGCCTCAGCTTCTCCATCTTTGTAAACAGGAATACCTACCAAAGGAGGAGTGCTGCAAGGAAGGACCAATGAGTGGCCTGCACAGAACTGAAAATGAATTAGAGTTTTCAAAACCAAGGGGAGAAAAGGAAAAGCAGATGTAGGAAGAGAGTTCCCTGCATTACAAAAAAGTTATACAACTAGTTTCTTGGGCATAAATGGCCTCCAGACTTCCAGCTTTGCTACTCTTCTCAACCCAAGAATAAACTCCTCAAAATCCAGCATTTCTAAAATGTTAAAGGCTACCACTTAAATCCTGCGTCTCTGGAGACATTTAGGCAATAACTATTCTGTAATATATTAAGTAAGATAGGGCCATTCAGCTGGGGGTGAACACAACAAGGGGGAGAAAAGTACCTTCTCCTTTCATGTCTGGTGGCAGACCTGTAGTGACGCTAAGAAAGGGGGAAAGAGTGCCTGCATCCAACACTAAAAGTATGTCGGACTCTTGTTAGAGACCTTTGTGGATGGGCAATTCGTGTGTGGTCCTTTCAGAATCTGATGGGTTTTTAGAAAAGACAAGGAAATAGTGTGCAGAAATAATTTCTTTGGTGCTAAATTTCAGAGGAATAATCCTAAAAGAGCCTTACTCTCTTATCCTTATACAAAATTACTTTTTTTTGGCTCAAGGAGCTTTACGATTTTGCCGTTTTTAAAATTAGTGATGGAAGATCTAATCACAGATTTGTTAGATTTAGCTGCATAGTAAAGGGATAATGTAGGGTTTTCTAGATCCTTCCCTACCCACAACAAGAACCACTAAAAGAAGTATTCAACTGTATGCACTACTGGAAACATTTTGGATTTACCATGGATTTCCTCCCAGTAATCATTCACAATGCGAGTTTAGCAATAAAGAAATCCATTATCATCCTCCTAATGCCGTATGGGAGAACAGGATTTTGGCAGAGTAAATGGAGCAGCAATTGCCTAGCAGAGAAGTAGAGGGGTTGGGGGGAGAACCATCAATAACTTCCCCTTACAGAGGTGACCAACAAGTTGTTCCTGCTGAGTGCAAAATCACTGATTTCCCTTTCTACTAGCTAAGTTGCTTTATCCACTCTGCAGACAGTCTGTCACAGACAGCGGGGCATAATTCCCTCCTGCTTACTACAAGCGTTAGGCAGCAAACTGTACTACTTCAACAGAACATAACAGATAGAGAAGAAGAGCATGTTTGTAAGGGCACCTGTCTCAAGGAGGCTCAGTAGCCACAAGGTTTACTGGCTAAGAACTGGACGTAAAATCTCTCAGGAACACCATTGATTTGAACTCATCTCAGATGTCATAGCTTGACAACAAATCCAGCCAACCTGTGATATCACCACAGTTAGAAACATCCAAGTCACCTTATGTCTGGCAGCTAGGCCAGTCCTATTTCAAACCTCTGATTGCAAAAGAAGGAACAAAGTATTCTAAGAAACAAGCGGAAAGAGTTTGACAGGGTTCTGTTTAGTTTAGATTTGTTGTTTGTGTTTCTGAAAGGTGTGGACTGTAGAAGAGAGTGGATATGAGGGGTCAAAGCAAAGCACTTTCCTTGAAGCAAGTTTAAAAATAAGTTTACTTAAAAGTTTTTCAGCTTATTACTAAGACAAGACACACTAAATTGTTACCCCTGCAGACTGAATTCTTCCATGTGCTACAGAACTCAGCATTTACATCGTGCTTTATAAAACATTCAGAGCTCTGTACAAACATTAATTGACCCTCACAACATCCCTGTGAGATGGGCAAGTACAATATTTTACAAACAGGTATAATAGGAGGTATCAAGAGGTTAAGACACTTGCCTTGGGACCTTGACCAAGCTGGTGGCAGAGCCAGAGCTCAGGAGTTCCTAACACCCAACCTCTTGCTCAGCTTAGGTAAGTGAATCCACATCCCTGAGTAATGTAGCTAGGCCAACCTAATGCCTGGTGTAAACAGTACGAGGCTGATGGATGAATTTATCCACCAATCTAGCTTCCACTTCTCAGGGAGGTGGATTAACTACAGCGAAGGGAGGAGAACAGTGTCTACACTGAAGCACTACAGCAGTTGTGACACTATACCAGTTTACGAGTAGACTTTCTTAGACTATGCTGCCTCGTGTCACAAAACAAAGTACACCACGGACAGCAGTTATGCTACGTCCTCACAGATGTGCTTCAACTCTGAGGGACCACAGTGCAGGTTGAATGCCACACACAGTCAGTCAATCTTTGCCTTCTCTGCCAAAACAGCCAGCATATCAGTTGCAAGATGGATATTTCAGATGCGCACCCTTAACAACTAGGAACTGGACTTCGATCACCAACACAAGTGTCACATGTAGGTTACTGAACATTAACCTGCAGATGGGAATGGCTTTTAATCACTACTGACTTGGCCCTTATTTGAGGTAAAATATTGTTTCCCATTACCATTCCCTGAAGTCACCCTGTCTCTTATAGCTTCTCACTTCTGACATCCAGTTTTTCCATTCTGTACTGTCTCATGGAGTTACCAACTTAAGGGGGAGGGGGGGGGGGGGAGATGCTAATCATTCTACATGAAACGTTTCTACTGTACATGGGACTTTTGAAGATGGCAAAGAAGTTGTGCTGTTCCTCAATGTCATCTACTTATATTGTGAACTGGAGAGCTTCTCAAGATAGAAATCTTCTCGGGCAGTCTGCTCTCCCACAATCATGTCAGCTATAGGCATGCTTACGTGACAAATATTTGGACACTCACTATAGCGAGAGAGAGAGAGAGAGAGAGAGACTTTACATGCAATGTTTTATCTCCACATTTTGTATCTGTGCTATTTCCTCAGGGTAAGAGTTAACATTTGTAAAATACCAAATCTCCCCTTGTTTACCTGTAGCCATCGTTGCTCTAATTGATTCAGGTCGTACTGTAGTTTGCCTCTGTCCTCCTGTGAGTTCATTACCTCTTCAATATTTTTTATCATCCATATATTTTAAGATTAAATTTACATCAAAAGAAAAAAAACAAAGCAGTAGGTCACATTACACAGAAGAGAAAGGTAATTTATATTTACTTGGTCAAAAAAATCCTCTAGAACTTGAACAGTATTTTGATCGGGCTACCTTCAACAGAAAAGACATTGCTTGAACATATATGGTTTTGGAATGGTGAAGGAGCAGCTCTCTGGACCACCTGGAAGAGATTCACGGACAAATTTGGGCACCATGGGTCAACAGACCCCATATTGCTTTCTGGCTGACGGAAAGTTCCCACCCACCTTTTTTTGAACTTGTAACCTCTTCTTTACGATAGGATAGTTTAGACTGTGAAATTATGCTTCAAAAGTAAAAAAAGGTACATTTTATATGCAAATGTATTACTGTCCAATACAATGCGATGTATCCTCATTGTTATTAGATTTACAGGCACTAAGAACAATTCTTTAACATTATGAATCAAAAAAAAACAAACAAACAAACGACACAGGTTAAAGAAATCAGTTCAGCATACCTTAGTATCATGTCCTTCATTCTGGCTTTCTGACACATACGTTTTCGAAGCCAGCATTGCAAATTTGATTTGTGGTAGATTAAGAGCTACAAACACACATAAATAACCAGACCATCCATTGAGGCAAAGTGGAAAATTGTTCCTGAAAAGATCTTTTACTAATATTATGTTTTTGTATTAATCAGTATACCCAAACCCCTAACTTAAAAGTGTACACTAACCTTATTCAGGAGACCAGAAGTGAACACCAGTCATGCAGTACCCATCGCAACAAAATTAATTACCATATCAGTTACTAAAAGTGATGACAAGACTCACTGCCCCCTGAAGAGGGGCGGGAAGGGAGAGAAGGTTTCTGGAGATTATTAGGATGAAATCTCTTACCTGTTTTCCATCAAGTGTGTACAGGCGTTTAACCACTCCCGAATCCAGCTTGATGGCATCAGTTATATCAGTAAGAACCTGTTCAAATGAATGTGCGGTCTTCTTATTAAGCAGAATCCGGACTGCTTTACGTGGTTTCACACCACTCCTGATGATGGTGACCAGTTTAGGCCTGATGAAATCTTTATTTTCTCTTGCATCTGAAGGACTTCCTTTGGCAGTGGCAAGAGACGGCACCGTACGGGAAGTGGATGTTGTCTTAACATTCACTGACCAATTTGGGTTTACATTCTTGGTGTACTCCAGTTTTTTGAAAGGTTCTATTGAACCACACACATAGCTCTCCCCTGAAGGGAAAAAAGAAAACGAAAAGGATAAAAAGTGTCAGACGAATAAGTCAGACTAATGTAAAAAGACATCTTACACAACTACATCTTACTTTTGACCTGCCCTGTATCAATCATATCTTTTCTCCCCTCTCCATCCTCTCAGCTAAGAAGCTGCAGACCATAATATAGTCTTGGAAAGATGCACCTTGCCACCTACTCATAGCATTATACCAAGAAACTACATTGACACACTGGATTAAAGCAGCAGTTTTCTTATTTGCAAGTTCTTCAGATAGTTTTTTAAATATACTTTGAATACTCCATTTCTGCTGTTTAATACAGATATGCAACAATAAGAATTCTCCAGCCCCCAATACATTCTTCAGAGTGGTCCTCTGATTTCATGTATTCAACAGGATTTTCAGAGGCTTACAGTGCTGTACACAAAACATAGGTCTCACATACTTTTGAAGTAACAGTACACTATAATACTAGGAAAAATAATTGAGAAATAATGGTATTTTCCACAAAATAAGGTTCAGAGAATCTCAGGGTTGGAAGGGATCTCAGGAGGTCATCTAGTCCAACCCCCTGCTCAAAGCAGGGCCAATCCCCAATTTTTGCCCCAGATCCCTAAATGGCCCCCTCAAGGATGGAACTCACAACTCTGGATTTAGCAGGCCAATGCTCAAACCACTGAGCTATTCCTCCCCCCTCATAAAAGCTCAGTACTATTCCCACCCCGGGAAATGAATCCAGGCAGCCTGGGTGAAAACCAGGAATCCTGACCACTAGACTTTATGGGACTCAGCACTTGAACTTAAAATTGTGCTAATTTCATAGTAATTATTCAAAGGCTCGTTTTTTAAACAAAGTTAAAACTTTAATTTAACAAATATGGAAAGAGTGAATTAAAATGACAGATCTCACAATGTTAAACACTTCTGGCCCAAAAGTTACAAAGCTTAACTACAGTGTTAAAAAATTGATTAAGGTCAATGGAAACGTTTCCATTAAAAAAACATTACAAATATTTTCTGTTTAGAATTAAACATTTCCCCTGAAACACAAACACTGTATCGGTGCATGAGCCAGAACGGATATTGGCTAGTATCCTCAGTGCTGAAACTGAAGTAAGTGCAAGAGGTAAAACCAAGAGAATTCACACCTTACGTAGAGGAGTAGAGAAGCGGGAACAGCAAGATCAGATAAGCAGCAAGACCTGAGGCCTAGGCCAGGATGGATCTGTGTGTTGCCCAACAGGTAACAATGAAAAGTTAAACACTTGTTGAGGAGAGCAAGGTGAAGCCAGTGGAGGGACTCAAAAGGAGGAGGCAACAGCATCAGCAGAACAAATGAAGAAGATAATTTTAAAGGCCATTATGGAGGAAGATGGAAACAATGAGAGTGTCAGAAAGGCCAGCAAGAAGGAGATTACAGTAATCAAAATAAATTTCTTTTAAGGCGGCTGGATTGTCCCTTTAAATTGAACCATAAAATGCCAGGAGGGCAGGAGAAGGGAAACATTTAATCACATTTTATTCATGATGTTGATTCAAGTTTGCAAGAACATTTAAAATGTCATTGCAAAGCCTAGGTGTTAAGAAATGACTGACCAAAAACCCCCCACTTCTGCTACTTTTATAGGAGGCAGAGTTAAGCTCTTCCTTTAATACAAACGTACATAGCTGGTAGCCTCAGAACAAAAGGGTTTAGCAATTAACTATAGTAATGATCTAAGAGTGATCAAACAAGACACATTCTCTTTTATCAGTGTCCCGGACCAATATTTTTAGCACTAACTGTTCCATTGTTGCAAGGTCAAATACTATATAAGTGCTCCCTCTTTGTATAAAACACCTCATCCATAGATTTCAAGAATTTTAAAGTACAGCTATTAATATAATCAAAATTTCTTAAAAGAGTGTTTTTACAGACACATATGCAATAAGTCAATACATGGTGTAGATTGGATTTACTTCTGATATACAGGAACTGGTGTCAAGGTATTTTAGGCCCTTTTATATTAACAAAGCCACTTATTTCTGAGTATTCACAATCAATAGCAAATAGTGTGTGTCTACTTTGGTTTATTAAAATAGTTTACAGGCTTCTCTAACAGTTACAAGTTTACATTAAGACAGTGTTGTTGCAACACAGCAACTGACTGAGTAGTCACTGAACTAGAGGAATGGGTCTAGAAAAAAAAATCATATTTTAGAATGCTGTCATATTTCCAAGGGGTAGGCTACCTCCATTCTAGTTTACAGATAAATATCAAACTGGTTACTTAAATATATTATGTATTGTTACAGCTAATACTACCCCAAGACAATGTACCAAGCATGCTTGATTTTGCCCCTGTAATAAAGCCGAACTCACCTGGCGGCACCTCCTGCTGGTTGTCCTCAGAAATTAGCTCGTCAGCCTCTGGAGCACCCTTTGATGTCTGGTGATCCGCCTTACTGCAGGCCCCAGTCCCTCCCAGTACCCTGTGCCTCCTCCCACTGGGGTGCTGCCCCCTGGCAGTAAACCCTAACAATCCCTGAGGGTCTCCCCTCCCTGGGGAACCCCCACCCACTACCCCCACCTCGCCTCAGTCTTGGCTACTGCCAGTCATCACTTAGCCCTGCTCTGTGGGGCAGACTGCAGTGTATCAGCCACTCAACACAGGTGAGGGGGTTTGGACCTGCTGCCTCTGTCTACTCATGGGCTGCCCCTGGCAACCCCAGTACCTAATAGTCCTTAATCTAGGCCTTGGAGCCTGGGGGTTTCCAGGCCGGAGCTCCCCTGACCTTTCCCCCTCAGCCCTGCCCCAATCTAGGTATTCCCTCAGGTCCCTGCAGGCAGGCCCTTCCCTCTCTGAACGCAGAGAGAGACTAGCTAAGCTTTAGCCTAGCAGCCCCTTTATAGGCCCAGCTGCGGCCATTTCCCCAATAAGCCTAGCTTTTCTTGCCCTCAGCCCTGGCTCTCTCCCAGGGCTGGCTTTTAAGCCCCACAGGGCAGAAGTGGGTAACCACCCTGTTACAGCCCGCTTTTTCCCCAAAAAAGCTTTGGGTAGCCCATTCTGCATGAGCTGCATAACTGGGTCCCTACTGAATAGCACCAGATGAGTGAGCATGTCATACTGCAAACAAGTATTGACTCTTGATTGATTATAGCATTAGTAGCTATTTATAAAACAAAAAACAAAAACTAAAGTGAGAAAGCAGTCACTGATTTTGCTGGCTTGTGTGCCAGAATTTCCCCAGCAATTTTAGCTACCAGTTTTACTGCAGCATTGCACCAAACAGTGATATCATCCTTCTACTAAGGTACGCTTTTCCTAAAAGGGAACAACCTAGATTTCATCTGGTTCTAAATGCTTATGTAGATTTATATAACTTGCTCTACCTAAACTGGACCATTATTTTAATGGCTTTTTGTTTCTTTTAAAGAGGAGAATGAAGACTAGATACACGTTATTTTTTAAGTAGCCTTAAAGTTGTGATGCAATAAGGTAAGTTTCCAATAGAGAAGTACAAATATATCATCATTTACCATAGAACAACTCCAAGGAAGTCAGTTTACAACCATGGGAGTCACACATACATGTTCCCAAAGGCCACTGAATTAAATGTTTGAGAAGTGTTTTGTATTTGTCCTGTCCTAAGTAAACTACACCCTGATTTTATAGTGATGCATATATGTGAGTTTTTAAACACTGAGGCCCCAATTCAGGAAAGCATCCTTATTCATGGAAGCACTTAAGAACATGTTTAGCTTTCCTGAATCAGGACCCTAATTGACAGTGGTCAGAAAGTTCAAAGTTAAGACTAATCCTCCAATCTTAATTGCCTTTGTGATAAGAGAAGCCAGTCACAATGCAAAGAACGTCCATCTTGATTTTGTTTCCCATTCTAAAAATCTTTCCCCCCCCCTTAGAAGGTAGATTAAAGGTAAATAAAAAGAAACAAAAGCCTTTCCGTGACTAACATGGAGTGCTGGAATTATGTCAGTGCTCACAGATAGGATCCATAATCCAATGAGGAGATTCAGTATCTCTCATCTACTCTATACTGGTAGCCACAGAACAAGAGAGTTAGCTTAGTTAAGGTTCACTCACAATTGCTATAAGGCAAGTGTAGACATTTACCCATAGTTTAAATAAGAGCCTCAGTCCAAAGAAGAGGAAGTCCCTTAAATTGGGGCTTGGATAAGGATTCAGTCCAAACAAGACTGAAGAGATTTGGAGAAGGAAGAGGAAGGGGGAGACAGAGGTCTATGGAACGAATCCGATCTTTCAACTTGGACTTTGTCAAAGATCACAATCAGGGGGGTTGTGCTGGAGTTTTAGGTGCTTCACCATGTCCAGGTAGCAGCAGTGGCTGGGACGCCCATTAATAGCCATAAGGTTGCAGTCACTCTTTCCCCTTTTATGGGGGACAGAGACAGTGGTTGTAATTTGGTAAGGGCCAACAGCAAATGACTATCTGACCCCAGAGCAAAAGGGAAGCAGAGAGGAAATGTGTGCAAGAGAGATGTCTCAGAGGCACAATGTCTCATAGGGGCTACTCCAGGGGTTATAAAGCTGAAGTACTATGACTTGCTTAGGATTGTGCTTAAAAAGACACAATCTAGCCCTAATCTTACGCCCCGGCTATATGACAACTGAGGGAGCAGTGAAGGAAATTATAGCCATCAGCAAGCCTTTGTAGGGTGTCAACACAGAAGAGGGTAAAACTTACATTGATACAAAATTAAGACAGACAGAACTAAAGTAATGAGTAAGCATGCTGAATAACAGGAAAGTTATGAGAGACTGTGGAACAGCTTCCCAAGGGAAGTGACTGCACTATGAAATGCTCATTCATCTGTCACTGATCAAGTCTCAACTATAGATTTTACAGTATCAACAGCCACTAAAATAAAGAATGGGGACTTTCCGCTGCTTGAAACATTTGATAGGGAACTGGTAAAATATAACATTAGGATTTAACACTGACTTCCCCCCCCCCCCCCGCCCCCCGAGATAGGAT